GAAACTTCATTATTTGGCAAGAAAACATTAAAAGAAACTTCTTATTTGGTAAGAAAACATTAAAAGAAACTTTTTATTTGGCAAGAAAACATTAAAAGAAACTTCATTATTTGGTAAGGAAATATTAAAAGAAAGTTTATTATTTGAGAAGAAAAATAATTGCACTTACATGATTTCTAATCTAACATTAAATCTAGTTAGCAAATTTATAGAACGAAGAATTACCTCTAAATAGTGTCGTATGTGGTCCGAACGGACGTGTCGCATTTTTATTTGCTGATCGATATCATGATACATGGTGCGCACATAACGGTGTCATTATATTTTGGCAACGACGAATGATTGATCATTTAGTACTTTCTAGTTGTCCAACAATTCTCAGGTAAATAACAAAATTTTTTTCATGTTTATTTCGAATAAACAAATTTCAGGTTTTTTTTTTTGTTTTTTTTTTTTTTTTTACAACCAAACATTGGTGTTTATATTAAATAAACTTTAAATTACAGGTTAAATTATAGGTAAATTACAGGTATGGTCCTCAAGGTCTGATAGCAGTAGGTTTAATAACAGGTCATATTTTGATTATTCAAAATGGTGAAATTATATCAACAAATGAGGTATCAATGAATATGTATGATTGGGAATTTTTAGAATTATAAAAATTTTATAATTTATTAATTTTCATACTTTTTATCTTACTTACTCATTTGTTAATCCAATTTATTTTTTATCGATGTTCATTACTGTTATAATTTTAGAAATGTAATTGAAAATAATATTAGGAATGAGAAATATTATTAAGTAGTTATTTTATAGTAGTAATGTATAATTATAAATATTAATTTTACAAAGTATTAAATAATTTTAAAATAAAAATAATTCAATGCAAATTTCATCCATTATAAAAACTGTAATAATTGATATGTAAATTTTGAAAATTGGATAAAATTTTAGGTTCATACTCTATCTGTAACATCACTTGAATGGCTTTATCCATTACAACAACTTATATCAATATCCTTAGATGGTCGAATTATCATTCATAATTTCAAATCAACAATATTGGAGGAGAAGTATTCCAAATTAATAACTAACTTAAATCTTCCCCGTAAAATTCGAAAATCTAATACATCAGCCAAATATATCGGTGAATTGTTTTATTAAAAAAGAAAAAAAAAAACGGAAGGAAAAACGGAAAAAACGGAAAAAACGGAAAAAACGGAACGGAAGGATTTTATTCCTCTTTTTTAAATCAAAAAAATATATTAAAATATTTTTTTTTTAATTTTCAGCAAAAGAAAAAAAGAAAAAAAAGGGAAATAAATTGATTTTCTATCAAAGTATATGGTAAAATTTTTGTTCATTGAAATATTTATCAAAAATTATTGAAAGTTAAATTTAAATTTAAAAAGGGAACAAAAGAGCATTATTAGTTTTGTGTTTAAAAATTAAAAAAAAGGAAAGAAATTGAAAATTTAGAAGGAATTGAAATTTCAATTTAGCAAAAATAATTTATCAGCTTATCATGCGACAAACTAAATTAATCAATCAATTAGGCTTGACATCATTATGCGTTACCAAAGATCGGTTATTTATTGGTGGTGAAACAGGTGCTATTTGGACAGTAACACTACCAGATTTAACCATTTCATTATTTCATTATGAGATTGATTGTATTGAAACAATAGCACATATCGCAAACTATACTATCATTACAACATCTTCTGGCAAGATAAGTTTTCATTAAAAAATATTACAATTTTCATTTAATCCTAAAAATATTTTTACATTTCTTTATGTATGATTACGGTATCATGATTTTGGTACTACAGTTACGGTATTACAATTACGGTATTACCGTTACGGTAGCGTAAATGCAGCATTAGATTTATGGTATCATAAATATGATATTAAAATTACATATTGCAATATCTAAGGTTAATATATGTTACCTAAATATTACAATGCCTAAAATAATAGGCAATTGACACAAATAATGTATTAATTTGAATATAACAATATAATGGATAGTAGCTATTTTAATTATCAAATATTAATTTAATTCCTAGCAAATATTTATTAGTGAGGAAAAATTTTTCAGCCAATCCTTTTTTTTTATTACAAAAAATGAAAATTTTCGTATTCTATGCTATATACTTTAATTAATTATAATTAAATTACAAAATTTGTCAGTAATTATTTTTTAATGAGAAAATGGTACTGTTTGAATAGTTCTTAATCGTCATTTCACATTTTATGAAAACTTTAATTGGTCATTTTCTGCTGAATTATCAATTAATTGCGTAATAGCTAATAAGTTAATGAGAAATTTATTGTTAGCAACAAGCATTAAGCATTGTAATGCTTACTGTTCGGATGATTTCATTAATCAACCAATAATTATTTCAGGGATTAATTATTTCCGGAAATGATAAATCGGTCCGTGTTTTGGATATTCCTGTTTATAGTGTTTTTGTCAAAAATGCTAATTTAATTATTTGTGGAAATAATGAGCAATTATGTGCGATTCAACTTGATGACATGAGAATATTGATGCGACAATCTTTTGCGCATCAAGCATTCGCTTTAGTTCCTGATAGTGATGCATTGATTGTAGTGGACAAACAGTTACTGGTCACTTCATATGGAATTAACATTAATCAATGATTTACAATTATAAATATATGAAAATATTGAATAATTTTTTTTTCCTAACATTATTAAAATTATTGAAAATTTCAATTAATTAATTAATTAAAATCTTTCCATTTATTGGTTGATTATACAGCGAATCATTGTAGACTTATTAAAATTTTGATTGTATGTTAAAGTATGTGAAGTTCGATTACGGTAATCATCATTGTAATATTTTGAAAGGGATAGAAATTATTGAAGAGATTTGTTTAAATTTCAAAGTTCAAACAATGATTCGATTCAATTTTCATTTTGGAATAAAATTATTTGGCAGAAATAATTTCACACTTTTTCTTTTCTTTTTTTTTTAATACATTAACAAATATTTCTTTCTAATCATTTATTTTAGCATATCAATTTTATGAAAAGATTAAAATTAATATATTATTTGTGATGTTTGCTTTTGTAAAATAATATTTTTGTATTGAGGAAAACACACACACACACAC